GCTGTAGAGGGCGCAGCGTCACTGGCCCTCATATGGGATCCCAACCGGGGCCCTGCTGCTCAGAGCTGGCATCCCAAGCCAACTCTTAACCAACGCACCACTCGGCAGGCCCTATATATATTTTTTAATTAGGTAAATCTATATGTATTGACATGAATATTCCCTAGGATATATTGTCAAATGGAAAAAAAATCAAAACCTGTGTATAAATACATAGAAAAACATCTGGAAGCACATATACCACACTGTCAAATGCCATAATATGCAAGGGAAGGAGAGACTCATGAAGGAAAAGATTTACACCACCATAGAGTCATCATTGAATTTATTTTATTTTAAAGGTATCTATATACATCAAATAAATACACACTGGGGTTTGTGCAGTTTGGTTTGTCTTCCACGCTGGCATGCAACATTTTGGCAGATGTAAGTGGGCAGGCCAGGTACCCTTTGTGGTGACCCTGGCTCTCTGAAAGGGATGTGGTGGGGAGGAGAGGAATGGGGGAGCAAGATGTAGGGCGAACCTTTTGGTGAAGGCTTTGTGTGTGTGTCGGTTCTGATTTATGTAAGTGAAGTCTATTTCCCTTACATCTTGCTAAAGAGAAGGCTGCTTCCTCTGTCACCTCTCTCCTTATCTGCCCTACAAACTCACATTTTCTTATGTGTTTTAAAAGACTCATTTGGTGGCAAGATTACATAAAACCCACTGAATTTTTAAATGCCTTCCTGGCAAATATTAGCACAAGTCTACAGGTGCACAGGTATCTTCTTCCTGTCTGACTGGGTCTTTGCTATGAATTGCAAGCTTGGGACAGGGAAGTCAGATTGGACCACTTTCCTCAGAACAGTGGTTTTCAAACTACAGAACCCCTCAGGGTTTCTTAGGACTGTCTCTCCTCAGTGAATGAAGCATTGTTCACCTACTAAAGAAAATGCAATCTGCCCAGGTCTGCATCACTTTTAGTTATTTCATATATCAGGGTTCTATGTAAGATTTGTTTTGAAAATGTTTGACTATCACTGCCTTGGATTTATTTCACATCCCTCTTGTATTTTTTCCCCTGCATTTCTCCTTAATTGCTAAAGGCAGTCCAACAGCTAAAGGGAGAAGGGTCGTTTTCCTTGAAGGAGTTCTGGGTCAATGCAGTCTATATTTACTGTGAGAAACTGGCTCTCACACTGAACTTTCTTTCCTGACTTAGAAGCTAGCAGATCATTGCCCTGCTGCTGGGGGAATTCTGTTCTTCCACCCTAGATAAGACTGGATATTTGGACACCAGACTTTCTTGATTTGGACTGGCTTGTAACCTCCACTCTCCATCCTTGCCGTTACCTAGAAAACCACCTTAGCACCATGTGGAAGGAAAGGATGTCTGAAACCAAAACAGAGTCCTATCAATTACATGGGGGATGTGGAGCCTGGGGAAGGAGACCCCCTAGTTCAAGCCCTTGGGCTCCCCCACCTCTGGAAAATCTGCCCTGCCCCTTTCTTTAAAGTGCACTTACCTGATGGGGACATTATAGAAGGAACTCTTTGTCAAAAAAAAATTTTTTTAATGTAAATTGGGGAAAAGGCAGGTTCTAGCTTGAAAGGAAGGCCATCTCAAGATAGACATTTTGCCAATGAACTGGAAGTCCCCAAACCAAAAGGTGGAGATGGGAAGAACATGCAGCACAATACGGGACAGAGAAAGAGACCCAGCTCATCACTGTGGCAAAAAATACTTAGGAATTTCCCAGCCTGTTCATCCTCAAGGCCAAAGCAGCAGTCATTTGACTATGCCTGCCTATCACTACCATGGGCAGACAAGCAACCATTTGACAGACTGGTCAGGAGGATCTGCCTCCTCCAGTTTTCAAAATATTGCAAAGCAACTCTACGTTCTGGTCATGAGCTCTGGGGTCGAGAATATCAAAAGGAGTTTTGAGGAAAAAGGGAAGTGGTCCCTTGAGCAATCCATGTTCTTGGTCATCCTGGGGGAATATGAAGAGGGAGGAAAAACACAGAGGGCAGAGGTGCAGACCTGCAATCCCTCTGTTTGGGTGAGGGGTATGAATACAATTCTTCATATAATTTAGTAGTCCTTCCATTTTACCCTCCCCTGTTTTATATGTGAAAGAGGAGGGAGGAAGAGCCTATTTTTGTATCTTCTTATGATGCTAAGACATTCTTCTGTTTAAGGCTTTGTGTGTGTGTGTGTGTATGTGTATGTATGTGTGTGTGTGTTTGTGTGTGTGTGCGCGCGCGCGCACGCGTGTGCATGTGCGTGTGTGTGTGTGAAGGATCACAGCCCTCTAGCTCCCATTTTTCCTTTTATCATCTCCGTGAGTAACACCACAGTGTGAGAAACGCATATATGAGAGAAAGAAGAGACATTCGCCCTCCTCCCTATTGCCCCAAATGAGGAGGGTATATACTATGTTTAGAAATTGCTAAATACATCATTAGATACTTAGAGAGTAAGACAGAGACATAGCAGCAGCTTTTGATATATAGATACAGAGTACAAAGAGATACAGAGTAAGAGAAGAAAGACATCAAACATAGTATAGTCGAACAACAAGGGTTGGGGAGGGAGTTAGCGTCAGAGACCGCAGGTTTGCAGCATGCTGAGAGAAGAGGCCTCATTCCCTCTTAGAAACTGGGGGAGAAAGAGAAAGAGGTTGTGAGGAACCATCTGCGGCCCAGCCACTGAAAAGTAACAGGGTGGCATTTGTACAAACTTTGGTTTACAGTCCTGTTCCATTAATTCCAATAACTGGACACCACCCTCTCAGCCCCTGCTCCTCTACCCCAGATCTCCCTAACTCCTCCTTTCCCATTCCTACTCCTTCACCTCTCATGCCTTTTGGCCTGTGTGTGCTTGGCCTACTATCCCGGAAAACCCTGGGAGAGGGTGGCCTACTGTACTGGAAAACTGCTGGAGAGGGCTCAGCTCGGATGCAGCCTAGTAAAAGACTAGGCTGTGTTCTCTCATTTCTAGTTCTCCAAGGATCCAAAAGGGACCATAAAACAGGATCCCAGTGCCCAGTTTTTGGCCCTAAAGCAACCATGGCAAGAAGCCTGGTGACACTAAGAACCAGAAAAATGCCTGAGCTGCTAGGGAAGAGGACCTGGAGACACGGGTGGAGAAAGGGAAACTTAGAGGTGGGGACACAGCTGTTTTACATCTCCACTGAGCAAGATGAGAGAAGAACGCTGACGATGCTTCTGGAGAAACAAAAAGTTAGACTCCTGGGGTATTTCCTAAAGCTTATTGGTGACATACAGATATGAGGAGTATAGGATCCAGGTGCAGAAATAAATCAAGCATCTCCTTTACTAGAGCTAGGTCTTACAAAATACCTATCCACCTATAATTATTTTAGGGTGGAGGCAGAGGGAGGATTAGATGATCTCTCAGTCTCCCAATATCTACTGCATTCTGGGGTCTGAGTGGCTGGATGGACTTGCCCTTTCTCACTTCTTTTGACATGTGGCAGTGACCCCTAGTGGCAGAAAGGCAGAACTGTGGTTACTACTGTTGCAGAAGGGAAAACTAAGGGGGGGGAGGGGAGATCCAGAGGATGTGGAGCAGCGCAGACGTCGCCTCTAGGAGGGGAAAGCAGGAGTTGGGGGACAACTATGTAGTAAAAGTCTTGAGATGATAAAAAAAAGTGGGAGAAACAAATAGGCTGAGGGCAAGAAAGGAGGCAACCTGAAGCTGGTCAGAAGAAGCAGCCTGAAGCTACCTGAAAGTGCAGGTATGCAGTAGTCCATGTGGGAGATTAGCTGGCTGCCGTCTCTTGGTGGAGAGGGAAAAGCTTGGCCTGGTCTTCAGCCTCATAGCCGCATGGCAGGTCACTCCTGGAAGAAGACACCCAGCACAATCACAGCATTGTCAGCCCCGTATAAATGAAAGCATTCCTGTCATTCTGCTTTCATAGTGTTCCTGTGAGATAGTGAAGGGCAGGGAGTATTTGGGTTTTATAGGAATATAGGGGAAAGCAAGGCCAGAGAGATGGAGCTGACTTGCCCAAAGTCACACAGTTCTGAAAGGAAGGAAGGAAACCCAGGGCATCAGATGTCCGTGGCATTTCCCCCCAGCCCCCATCACTGGAATGGGGAGTAGCCACAGATGGGATTGGAGGAGGGGACATCAACTGACTGGATCTCCTGGACAACACAGTGATGGCAAGACAGATTCTCATTTCCTCCTCCTTCCCCGGAAAGGCTCCAGGGAAACTCTTAACTAGGGCATGAGGGAAATTTAATCATTGCTTCTGCTCCCACCCAGAGAACCCAAGAGCAGTGGGGATGGGTGTACCTATTGTCGTTGATATCTGTGGTGTTTCCTGAAGAGATCATCATTGAGAACACAGGATTAGAAGAAGAAAAAGGAGACTGGGTGTTAGAAACACTCTCCCCCAAGTCCCTCTCATCCTAATCCCTTACAGAGAAAGGTAACACTCTTTGGAGCTTAGCTGTTATCTGGTTCTGTGACACTCTATCTACAACAACCCCATGCTGCATCATTTTTTGCTTGAGAAAAAGCCTCCTTGACCCCTCACAAAAAAAAGAGGAGAAGGGGAAAGGAAGGTAAGGGTGGGGCAGGCATGGTAATAGGAGGAATCTACTTCTAAGAGTCCAATACCCTGAACGGATGGGCAGTGTTCAACCTGTAGGTACAGGGTCGCTTACTTGTCTTATACTTTTCAACTTGCCCTCGGGATCCCAAAGGCTGGCGACCCATCTTTTTCACTCACCATTGTCCATGTTGGCCTTCTGGTAGGAAGCCAAGGGGCCGCCAGATGATGTGGCCCCACTGCTGGTACAGGAGTTTGCAAAGCTGGATGGAGAGAGGAGATGCAGCCTCTGGCACCCACCCTCCACCATTCCAGGACCACGCATCCACACTCACCCTCAGGAATGGAGCCACACACCCCTCCCATCCCAGAGAACAGAGGACAACAAACATGGTCGTAGGCTGGGAAGGTAGATGCCTACCTTCTAATCATAGGTGTGAAGTTGAGAAAGAGTTAATGAAGCTACATGGGAACAGAATTAAGTCTCACCCAATAACTGACCCAACCTTATGCCTTCTTGGGTGCAGAGAGCCTTGAGTTGGGACTCTAGCCCATGCCCATGGTCACTCACTACATATCTGAGGTGGAGTTAGGTGCGGCCTGCAGGTACAAATTCTGGTAGTTCTGGAAGAGGCTGTTGGTATAACTGATGCACTCAGGGCTCCGGGTGCCATAGGGGTTGGTGGGTGAGGATGCTGGGTAGTGGCCAGGCCGGACGGGTTTGGCTGTGGTAAAGAAAGGAAAATGACCCTGAGGAGGCTATTTGTTACCTGGTCCCTGAGGTCATTTAGCTAGAGTTGAACTGAATAGCTTATAAGATAATTGACTTTTACATTTTTGGGGGGTGATGATGGGGTAAGGCTGGGGATGGTACAATAAGAAGCAATTGCCTAGCTGCTTAACACTTAGGAATTTGCTGAATTTCCCTAGGTGGTAACTCCACCTTGCCTACTGCCATCCACTCCCACTCACCAATCTGGGCAGAATGACCCCTCTTGCCAGAGCTCTTGTACCGAACCGCCTCCTTGATGCGGTCCACTTCCTGCTGGTACCGGCGCTTGTCTTTCATGGCACCCTCCTTGGCTTCCTTCAGTGCACCCTCCAGGGCCTTAACTCTCTCAGCCGTAGCCCTAAGTCGTTTTTCCAATTTAGGAAGCTCACAACGCAGATCTGCATTGTCACGTACCAGCTGTGGGGTGAGCCCAAGGGAAGAGGCAGAAAGAAGGGCAAGGGACCCAAGAGAGAGCCAGCAGTGGAGTATGGGGTGAAGGTGGAGAGAGAGAATAAAGAAAAATCGAGTCAGAAAAGACAGAGAGAATGCTGTTTCCTTGAAAGGTCTTATTCCCTTTACCTAATGTGCTGTTTCAGCCATTTCTTTCCTTCTTCCTGAGCAAACGGTGGTCAGGCATTAAAAAGTCACATTGTTTTCTGGGCAACAAAATGTGCCAACTCCATTGTAGCCTAGAATTCTTGTGACAGTACCCTGTCCCAGTCTCCTCCTGGCCTACACCCCCCTCCCCAGAATCTTACAGCTGTGCCAAACCAACAGCCCCAGGGCAACCATGGAGATGAGGCACCCCCTTACCCAGAGATGGCTTTATGGGCATGCACAGGGCGGGGCAGCAAGACCATAGCAGCAGTTTGGAGGGTGGATATGGCATTGAGTGTAGATGAGGTATAGTGCAGAGCAGGAGCAGAAGCTGGAATACAGGAGCCCCCACCTCACCCCCTACCCCCACACGTACACACGATGCCACATAGGAAGGAAAGAAAATGTTTGAGGTTCACAAACATTTGTGCTTATTACCTTTACAGTCAAGGACTTCCTGGGCTATCCCTCCCCCATTTAAGTTAAACTACAGTGTGGTAGCAACCACCTTACAGCCAGAAAAGACCTCCTGATCTTTTTTACAGGGTCTCACACCTGACTGGAGGCGCTACAGATTGCCAAAAGTGCCAGCCTTGGAAGATATCAGGGAAATCAGTGTAGCTGGGAACACTGGGAGAAACGGCAGAGCTAGAAACACTTCTGTGACCCTTTAACTTTGGATAATTTGCAGATTATAAAGAGTGTTTTGCTGTGACAATAGCTTAGCTTAATTAGTAATGGGGCTGTAGTTGTGGCTATTTATGTTTCTGTTAAAGCAGAAGTTTCTAGATCTCTCTCATTTTCCTTTCTAGACTCAGGTCTGCTGAGGTAGGAAATTTTGAGGAGTCCTCTGTCCCATAAGTGAGTAGTTTCTGGGCTTTGGGAGGTTTCAATTGGGGTAGTCTGTGGTTTACTGACATTCTACAACATGGATGAACCTGGAGGACATTATGCTAAGTGAAATAAACCGGTCACCAAAGGACAAATACTATATGATTCCACTTATATGAGGTACTTAGAACAGTCAAAATCATAAAGACAGAAAGTAGAATGGTGGGTGCCAGGGGATGGGAGTAGGGGGGAATGAGGAGTTATTGTTTAATGGATCTAAGAGTTTCAGTTCTACAAAATGAAAAGAGTTATGGGGATGGATGGTGGTGAACACTGCACAACACTGTAATGCATTTAATACCACTGAACTGTACACTTAAAATGATTATGGTGGCAAATTTTATGTTATGTGTATTTTCCCACAATAAAAAAATTGGGGGAAAAGCAACATAATATGCATTTAGATGAAGGAAAATGGACACACAGAGATGAAAAAGAATGGCAAAACTGATTACAAATGTTTCTTCCATGTCTTTTAACTTTTCTATAATGTTTTACACTGTTTTATAATAAGCAAAGGGAAAGAGATGGCAGTAAAGCCCTCTGCAGGTCCAAATGAAACAAATAAACTCTGCAGACTATCACTGGGACACACAGTTCTCGGATTATTTTCATTATTAAAAAAAGAAAGAAAGAAAGAAAAGAAAGAAAAAAACTGTACTGAGTATTTACTATATATGCTGGGCAGTGCACTGGGAGAAAAAGAAGTTTAGGCTCCAGTTTAGTGAGAACATGAGTTTAGTAAGAACATGGAATTTTAAGGTGGATTTGAAAGGAAGGGAATGAAGTATAGGTTAAGGTTTATTTTCTGATTTAGTTAAAAGACTCGTTGACAGATTGTTGCACCTGTTTTCCAGGCTCAGCTATTTGGCTCTGTCTGTACCAAACATTTCCTGTCCGGACTCCTTTGGATTGCCCCTTCTACCTCCCTGCCCCATACCTTTGAAACCCAGTCATCCACCTAAGGAGCCGCAGCAGCAAGGAGGGCGACAGAGAGGCAGCAACTTAATACCCAGGAGTTTTGCTTGGCCCCGACCAGGGGCTGGTTGGGCAATCTAAAGGACATCACTGAATTCGCCTGCATGCCTGCCCCAGGCCTAGGCAGATGGAGTTCTCTCTATGAGAGAAAGAGAAAGCCCGGCTTCCCTGGCTTCTTCTTGTCTCACTGCTTTCTATCTCTGGCTAAAGTCTAAGCAATATCCCTCATGTATCGTTACAGCCCCATGCCTCTGAAACCTTTATCAGTTTTAACCTCTCCCTCCAACAGCATAGGCCTGAGGATTCCACTTTGAGCAGAGGCAGGTTGGGAGCTTTGAGAAGGGAAAACAGGCAGGGTACAAAGTACAAGGTACAAGTAGAACCAAGTATGGTATAAAGTAGGGATTAGTGGGAAAAACTTAAGGAAAGCATGAAAGTAGATTTTCCTAAATCCAAGGGGCCTCTGAGGATTTGGTATCCTAGGCACCTGGCCTCAAGATTCTCTTCCCCTTCTGCCCCCACTCTTACCTGTTTGTGAACCTTTGTAAGCTGTTCCAGGTTGTTCTCAAGAAAGGAAATCTTCTGCTTTTGGGAGTGAATCCCCCCACTGTCCTCGGGCTCCATCTCTGCACTCTGATTAAAGACAGAGGGAAAGATGTGGCTGTCCTGACAGGTCTCATCCAGACCAGGCTAAGCCAGCCCCACAGGAGGCCAGGAGCTGGAGGAACCTGAGAACAGGAGGAGAAGGTGGGGCTGGGAAGAGCCTGAGCAAGGGTGGCACTCACTTTCTTGACTCGAGTCGTGACGTCTTGAACGAACAGCTTGCGAAGGTTGTGGAGGGTCTGGAGTTCCCGGGCCTGGAAAGAATGATGAAAGACTGAGGTAGCCAAATACCAGGTCGACCTTCTCACTTGGAAATTACTGTAAACTTCAGTCTATCTAGTCAACTGAGTCACTCATTCTTTTTGGAAAAGATGCATTCTGATTATATATGCCATGGACTGACTTTGCAGAGGGCAGAAGGAATGGGGTTAGGAAGAAATCAGGGGGAAGAGATTCAGCACAGGTGGAAACTACTCACAACTGTCTCCTCCAGACCCTTGAGGTCCTGCTTGGACTGCTCATGTCGCTCGTACAGAAATCTGGAGGAAGAAGAAAATAGAAGAATCTCTCAGGACTCTCCTTCCACTCTCCTCCAATCCTTTTATATATGTATTTTTTTATTACTTGTACAAGTTACCCATCTTCACTGTGCAGGAATTAGAAAATGAAAAAAAAAAAAAAAAGGTAAACAAGTTTCATAAAAAGCGCACATTTCTACTACTTACAGATCAAACCACTGTTAATCCTGGTATCCATCTTTCCAGATTCTTTTTTCTATACATGTACATCCCATATTCATTTTATGGGCTCATACCACTCCCACTGTTTTGTAACATGAGTTTTACACTCAACAGAATATCACCAACATCTTTCCATGTCAGCGAATATTCAACAGAGTTCCTTTCTGAAAGTCTCCTGTTTTTTTCCTTCCCCACCCCATCAAATTATTCTTTTGAGGCATTGCTTCCTATGGTCACCATATTCACATCTACACTGCATCCCGCCTCTGCAGGTGTAGCAGTCTCAGCCTATGTGGGGGCAGCTCTGTGGGCGGACCCGTCACTCACGTCAGCTCCTGGAGTTTGGTGCTCTTCTCATGTTCTTCATTTTTCAGCTTCTCATAGTCAGCCTGAAGCTTCTCTAGCTCTAACTGGAGTTTCTGATTCAGGCTGCAGATGGCAAGGAGGTATTGGAGAGGACAAAAGGATGTGAATGACAGGGGAAGGGAAGACCAGCTCCTCGGGCATTTTCCCTCTTGTACAAGTGAGTATAATTAGAATGGATTCTTCTACCTTCAGATGTCACAGGCAGACTCAAGTCACTGCTTCCATGACAGAGTAAGGAACCCTGAACTATCTAGTCAGAAGAGCTTCAAGGATTGGGACTAGTTCCTAATCCTTGTACGTCCTGGACTTGGGCTGCAAAGTCGTGTCATTATTGGGGGAATGATACATGGAAGTTAAAGATCTGGATCCTGGACCAAGAGGGAGGATTTGAGTGGGCATAGCAAAGGTGAGAGGACCAGGTGGAGACCGGAGCCACCCTCGGGAACTCTTACTCTTTGAGCTCATCGATAGTTTTCTGCTTCTCGTTGATCTCATCCCGGAGCCGGGCCAGCTGCCTGTGATGGGCCTCCCGGTGACTCTCCATCTGCAGCTCCAGGGCCTTCTGCAAACCACGCCATCCCAAGTTCAAAGCTGGACTCCTCAACACCAGCTTGGTGAGGGCCAGCACAGCCCTACCAGGCCCGGGTCATCCCCACAGCTTCCCCACTTGCCTTCACTTCGTCTGCATCCTGTGTGTCTGGCTCCTTGTCCTTCAGGGCCACTTCATGCACAGTTTCTGAGGGAAAGAGGGGAAGACAGCTTACATCACACCTACCTCACCCAGGAAGAACTTCACATTGTGACCGGAGCTCCAGGCAGGGCAGGAGACATCTACCCAGAATGGGCCCACAGGGATGTTCTTCCGGGTTAGGACAGCCCAATTTGATATAGCAGGGACAGAGGACAATGGAGGGTTTATGGTTCGTGTACAATAAGCTACATGCAAAAGCTTGCTAAGTAGCATGCAAGTTGGTCCCCATGATTTCAGTCTCATGCTCTGGGCGAGTGTGCTGTCTGGTGGTTTCTTTTGATGTTTGTCACTTTCCCTCCCTGCCTCCTCTGGGATCTCAGATCCCAGGATGGGTGGGTTGGAGTTTTAAGAGGGCCTCACCCTGGGCCTGGAGCTTAGCCAGCTCATCACTCAGGGAGTCATAGGACTCTTCCAGGTGCCGCTTCTTTAGCTCCACACTCTGCATGTATTCCGTAAGTGAGCGGATCTTGGCCTCATGCTGGTGGGGGAAGGGTTGGTGAGAGGAAGAAGATGATGGAGCAAAGGATACCACTCCGGGCAGTGCAGACATCTGTAAACTCCAGCTCTCCTCCCAAACCCTCCCCTCCTCTATGCCTTCTGTGAGGATGCAGGGTTGGGGCCAGTCCTCTGGAGACCTTTCCTTTAGACCCCATCAGCTCAGAGGCCAGTGTCCTCCTTGAACTTTCACTTTTCTGGTCCGGACACTCCCCTGCTACCTCAAGCTCTTCTGTCTTTGACTTCAGTTGACCTTAGGACCTGGACATAAACTTGGTGCTAGGAGTTTTACCCCATAACCAGAGAGTCACCCTCTTTCTCCCACAGAACGAAAAAGCTCTCAACCTCCAGCACTCACCTGGGAGATGAGGAGCTGGCAGGATGAGAGCTCCCGCCCAGTCACTTCCATCTTGCGATGACATTCAACCTGGAGGTTCTCCAGCTGCCGACACCGCTTGACCACAGACTTGACCTCCGATTTGATTTTGCTGATGTAGAGTCGGGCCACAGTGAACTCCTCCTCAATGGCCCCACTGATCTCCACCGGCTATGGGTGGCAACGGAGGGAAGAGGTGCTCTGCTGAAAGCTTTTATCCATTCTCTTCCACCCTGTCTATCCCTGCACATACTCACATACACAGGGACTCAGGTGAGACAGGTATTCTCCCAACAACTTTTAGCAGCTCTCTGTCACTTGGCATTTCACACTAAACCCCTCTATCTGCCCTTAAAGATTCAATTCCGACAGTCACCCTCTTCCATCTTATAAAGCAATATGATTTTCTTTTGCAGTCAAATTGTTCTGCTTGATCACCCAAATGGGTCATTGTCACTGCACAGATTTGCATATATCATTCTAACTCTGTGCTCCCATCTCTAAATCCTGCTATGAGTGTATCTCCACTGCTTCTTTATTCAGCACACTTTAGGTATATTTTCAGTTGAGTCTATGCAAACCTCTATTGTTTTCCTGAGTCCACTTTGAGGGCATGTTTCCTAAATCTTTGGCCCGCCTTTCTTGAGAGCCTGGAGTATCCCACCTTGCATCTCCCACCAGTGCCCAGAACAGGAATGACCTGAACATGATGGCTGCCTCTTTCTCTACTCACCAGCTTAATCTCCCCGTTGCCCACGATGACACTGAACTCACTCAGGTCTTTCATCAGCCCGTTCAGCACTTCAGCAATTCGTTTTCGCTGGTGTCCACTGACCTCCTGTAGCCGCTGCAACTCAGACTCCAGGGACAGCATGCTGGCCTGGGGACAGACAGCCCCTCAGGTCATCCCATTGTCATCTTCCTGCTCACCTCCCCAGACCAGGCAGAGGCCTCTCCCTTCAGGTATGACCCTGATGGCTGCTGTGGCTGCTACAAATAGAACACAGGCCCTGCAAAAGGGTCTGGAATAGAGAGGCGTCAGCAGGGCAAAGTGCAGTGAGCGGGTCGGGGAGGGTCTCACAACACATTGAACAGCAGTGCAAAGGTACAAACACGATGCAGCCCTGGAAGGAAGCAGAGGTCCCTTTGGACATGGAAGATGTTCTGAGGCCAGAGAGCTCTTGGACCCCAGTCAGCCACTTACCACCTTCTGAGATAGCTCATCTACCAGAAGCTGGTTCTGCTGGCTCTTTTCCTCCACCTCCTGGGACTTCTGGTCGTAGTTCACAGCCAACTCCTCCAGAGCCTGTAGTACTTCCTTCACCTCATCCTTAGCGGCATCGTTCTCTGACTGCAGGTGGCTCAGCTCCTGCTGGACCTTCTCATTGTCTCCTCGAGTGGACATCAGCAGCTTCAAGGGAGAGGCAAGGCATGTGAGGCAGTTTGCTGCTACTGACCACTTCTGTGGCCCCTTGCTCTGGGGACGCTGAACCCCCCACCCAGGCATAGCTCTAGGAGTGAGGCAAGGGCCAAAATGAGAATCAAGAGGAAGTGTGCTTTAATGCTTCTTAGAAACAGAGCAATAGAATGAAGAAGCACTTAGATGCCCAAATCTGTGCTTTAAGCAGAGCCCCAGTGAAGTCCCCAGACTTCTATAGTTTGGAGGGTGACTAGCCCTAGCAGAATGCCCCTTCTTCCGATTGTAAAAAGATCTTTTTTATGCCTTCCAGGGATGAACACACACCCGTCTCCTCTCATGTCTTGCCCTCCTCCCCATTACCTCTTCCTGGTCCAGCATTTGCTGCTTGAGCTTCTCTATGAGCTGGCTCTGCTGGTTGATCTCATCATCCTGTTGGAGGCAAGAGGGAAAGACAGAGTGAAGGGAAGCTAGTCCTTCTGGTTTAGTCTTACGGGGTTGAGGGAGAGGTAGGAGTCTGATAAAATCCAGATAGCTTAGGCTTTGTGTTAAAAACTCCATATCTTAAAAAAAAAAGTCTTTTCCTCAGCTTCTTTCCTCAACTCTTGTCCTCACTTTTAAATTCCTTACTTCCTGGAACTTGGTATAACATTGACAATATACAGAAAAGCCATAAAATGTTCATATCCTTTAACGTAGAAATCCCACTCTAGCACTCCATTCTAACCAAATCATTCAAAAGCAAAATCTTATGCACAAGAGGCAAAGTTAGTCATTTCAGACTTGTTTATAAGAGCAAAAACAAACAAACAGAACAAAAAAAAAAAACACCTAGAAGCCCTGTAATAAGTGAACGGTTAAATATACTCTGATAAATGGACTGCCAGGCAGCCATTTTTAAATACTTTTATGAAGCATTGTCAACAAAGTAGGAAATTGTTCATTATATAATACTAAATGAAAAAAGTTGGATGTAAAGTTATATATACAGTATATCGCAATTGCATGGTATATGCACAGAGAAAAGCAAAATGTTAAGTGTTATTTTTGAATGGTGGGATGATGGATGATTTTAACTTCCTTCTATGTATCTTTATTTATCTTCCACATTTTCAATAATGAACATGTATCCCTTTTAAATAAAAAAAGTCCGTATAAACTAATTTTTAAATCCCTCACTTCTCATCCCACGGGGCTCACCCTTGTGCCCTGCCTGACTGTCCTCACCTTGTCATCAAGCTGCTTGTAGAGGCGCCGGATCTCCTCCTCGTATTTCTGCCGCTCCTCGGGTGCGATGCGCACCACGATGGAGGAGTTGTCGTTCACAGGTGTCTCCTCGCACAGCTCGGCCCCCAGAGTTGCATCCTCCTCGGCCAGGCGTTCCGTCTCAGGCACATTCTCTCCTGGCAAAGGGGCAGAACAAGGTGAGGGATGGGAGAAGAGAAAGCTACATTCACGAGTCCTTCCTCCCTCCTCAATGCCAAGACCTCCAGGCCTCCTCTTTGCTATGTGGATCTTTATGGGGGAGGAGGGGGGATATGGTTTCAGCCCCTATCCCTTTCCCTCATGACGGTTCTACTGCACCCCTCCCAAAATACAGCCCTCTTTGAAGATCAGCCTTCCCTTAGCACCTCTCCAGACAGGGCCCTCTCTGGCTCCCTAAGCCTCCTCCTCTTCCCACTGCCTTTCCTGTTCACAGGTCCCCTCGCTAACCATTGCGCCAGCGGCTCAACTCAGCCTCCAGCTTTGCAATTGTCTCCTTCTGAGTCTTTGTCTTCTCCTTCTCCTTCTCGTATTTCTTCTTCCACTGCTCAGCAGTCAACTCCAGATTCACTGATGCTGTGTTCTTAATGGTCTTTGCCCTGAGTGAGGAGAAGGGAACAAAGAGACGAGACCTCCATTAAGGCTCATGTGATGCTGAGGGGAGAAAGCAGCAGGGGTTGGGCAGGGAGCTGGGGACCCTGCCACTGACCGCTGCCCAAACATCAGGGTGGACTTGGTCTCCGCATCATTGTAGCTGGACGGTGAGCAGCAGATGAACATAGTTGTCCGGCAGTTCCCTCCCAGAGAGTCCTGGAGAATCCGTGTCATTTTGCTGTCACGATATGGAACATAGCTTTTCTGGAGGAGGAAGGAGATGTGAATCAGAAAAATAAGGGGAATCAGAAAGAACAGTGGTGCTGACTAGAGACTGGCAATCCATGAATAGGGGCATGGTGAAATTGCAGCATTAGGAGAAGGTGGGAGATGGGGTGGAACTTGAGGGGTAGGGGGACCTAAGGAACGCTCACAGTGCCCTCAGCCAGCGCAGAGATCACGTTCCCCAGGGCTGACAGTGACTTGTTGATATTCTTTGCCTCGTCCAGCACAGCTCCCTCTGCTCCAGTCTTGCTGACCTACCAGGGCATTAAGGGACGAGTATGTCATGAGCTGCTGCAAAGGAAGAGGGCTCTCACCACCTTCTCTTCAAGTAGTAGGGCTCAGGCCAAGGAGGGGAGGGGACAGGGAAAGAGGACAAAGAAGGCCCTTCCTCTGTTCCCCTAAACTCCCTTGCCAAAGGCCTCCCACTCTGGCCCACATATTACACATATTATGTGATCCCATTTATATGAAATGTCCAGAAAAGGCAATTCCACGGACAGAAAGTAGATTAGTGGCTGCCAGGGAATAAAGAAGGGGACAATAGGGATTAACTGTTAATAGGTGATGAAAATTAGTGGTGATGGTTTCACAACCTTGAAAACATCCTAAAAACCACTGAATTGTACACTTTTAAATGGCAAACTTTATGGAATATGAATTATGTCTCAATAAAAAGTTACTTTGATTTAAAAAAAGGCCACCCTCCCCCAAGGCTTCCTTCTCTCCCCATCCCACTACCACAAGACCCCCAACCTTCTCGCTCCCAGCCAGGTCCACCAGATACAGCTTCCCACTGAGCTTCTGCTCAGTCTCCATGTTCTCCTGCTTGATGTTGATGAGAAAGATGCTGTGACTGCGAGAGCTGTGTTCATTCATGTCTGAGGGAAGAAGGGAGAAACAGTCCTGGTACCAACCCCAGAAGACTGAAGCCCTAAGTCGCTGACCACTGCCCCCACCCACCAAAAAAGAAGGTGCTGCCAGGACTAGCCAGGGCACTATATCTCCCAGGTCACACAAACAGAGCCCCTCCTCCTCTGGAGGACAGTCTTCTCTTGCTCTCTTTCAAGTCCCTCAGCCCCCAAAAACACAAAGGAGAAGTGGACCCCGTTATTTCTTCACTCACTGGTGACAGCCACATGACGATTCGATTTCCCCTCGTCAATCACATCTAAAATCTCCTCTGGGCTGGACACAAAGCGTTCAGTACAACCCTGCAGAGGGTAGGACAGTGACCCATAAACTTTGGTCTGCAAATTAAATTACCTGCACACTGACAAAATGACCTTTTCAGACAGTGTCCTTCCAACTCTCCAGACTCTCCCCAGCCCTTTGGCACATCTCACCCCTCCAGGAGATCCACCCTCTGATTTCTGGGTCACTGGTCTATCCTTCTCCCACACCCACATTTGCAATACACTGGCCCCATCTGGGTGCCCCCATCCCCACTCTCACCTTGACAAATGGCACCCGGTTCTTGTCCTCGTGCACAGACAGATTTGTCTTGGTCACTGAATCAAGACAATACAGGATAAGCAAGGCCACCACTTCCATCCCCATCCCCCCCACCTCCCACTCCCCACACCATGTAGTCCGTTCAGATGGTGGTTTCTTCTACGTGCAAAAGGGAGGGAGACTCCCCTGTGAAGCCTAAACTTCCTGCATATGCTAAAGACTCAGTGTGTCCTCCTGCAGGATTCTAGCCCCAGGGGTCCAGCTTGTCTCAGGCTGTTTATATGTAGGCCTGGGCATCTAAGCTCCTCCTCTGACCCTTTCAGTTTTGGGAAATCTTGGTAAGTGGAGGCAAGGGACACAAGTATGTGTGTGTGTGCCATTGTATGCCCTCTGCATCTCTTGCCAAACAGTCCCTAACCCCAAGAACAGTGTAATCTTTCTTTTTCTTGCCCTCCTCACACCCACACCCACCCACTGGGGTTAAATACCACTCACCATCCAGAAGGTCACGAATTTTGTCCAGGTAAATCTCAAAGTAAGAAACCTGGTTAGGGAGGAAGGAGGAGTATGAAGTGAAGAGGACCTATCTTAAGGAATCTTAAGCTAATGTGACCTCCTCCAACAAGGGTAGTGGGAGGAAAAGAGCAGAAGAGACTATCTTGGGGGAGAAGAAGAACTGAAGTAACTAGAGGAGGAGAATAAGGTGGGGCACCCAGGATCTCAGTGGGCTCAGACTAGATCTTCTCCTCCCAGTCCCTATCTGAGAATGCCCAGTGGTCATGCCCTGATCACCTTGATGTGGAACTCAAGGTTCTCATCCATGGAGTAGATGTGGTTGAAGATGTCTCGGGCAATTCGAGGAATGATTCCCATCAGCTGGGGGTCATGCAGCTTTCCCTGGGGAGTAAGGGTATTCCAGAATGAGGCTGGAGCTCAGGAAGAATGAGACAACTCAGAGGTGTGCAGACGAACACAAAGGTAAGAGTTGATAGGAACCATCCTAAGTCAGGAGATGGTCACTGCCATGTCTACCTTTTAGTAGAAAGAGGAGAACACTGAACAGCCCTTTGGCCTTTCATTGATGCTGCTTTTCTGGGTCAAAATAAGAAAACTGGAGTAGTGGAAAGGAGAGTAAACTGCAGCAGGCTGAAGGGATTCCATTGAATTTCTACCAGAACACTGCCCGTCGGTTCATCCTCTGGACCCAGCTACCTCCAGACCAGGCAGCCCTTGATTCCTGGCTCTTCCCTCACTGAGATTCCTTGGCTTCCCATTAACACTCCCAGCTCCTCACCCTCCACGTAAGTCAGAAGCCTCACCTCCATAGTATGTGTTTTCCCTGAGGATGTCTGTCCGTAAGCAAATATGGTGCCATTGTAGCCAGCAAGGACATCTGGAAAAGATGTTCGAGAAAAGAGCACTGGTGGAGAGAAGTGGGATAGAGAATAGGGAGCCTAAAAAAATACATTCTAAAAATATATCCTTACCTTTGACAATCTGCATGGCACATGCATGATAAACTTGCTCCTGAGTCGTGTTTGGGGGGAATACACGATCAAAGACATATGGCTTCCCCTGGAGTGGAAATAAAAGATGGCAGACATCAGCAGGCAGAGTGTGAGGGAGAAGAAATACTGAAGCCTCTTCCATTAGCCTGAGAAGACACTCGGTATTCAACCATCCATATGCATGGACAATTATGGGGATGAGAGAAACCAGAGAGAGAAACAAAATTTAGTATTGACACCAAGAGTTGTGTCATGTGTTAGAGAGTGTCATTGAGGAGTGTCACAAAGTGAGACTATGTGAGGGGGTCTCAGTCTGGGTGTGGTGATTTAGTGCCCCACCGCCCCAGACCTCCCACTCGGGGAAACCAAATGGGAAAAGACAACAGGAGCACAGGTTACAGGATTATTCATTAACATTAAAAATCTACCCCTAGTTTAAAAATATCTTCCTCAGTAACCCATATGTGTTGGTATGGAAAGACCTCAAGATGTATTAAGTGAAAAATAAAAAGTTAGAGACCTATATATAGTATGTTTCCTATTGTGTAATGAAATGTGTACAAGTATATGTGTGTGTGTTGAGCTGTTGTGAAAACATTAACACAAACTCCCTTTAGAAAGAAATACATGAAATTGGAAATATGAGTCTCCCTTTAAGGAATCAGCTTTAAGTAAAGAGAAACTGTAAAGCAAATCACTCAGACCTACAAGTACTTTGCTTAATTCAGGTAATACGTTATAAATCATGTGTGCTGATAAGAATGCTAAAGATACAAAATATTTATCGGGTTTTCGGAAAAATCTTGACGCATTTTTGCAACGAAAAATATAGAAAAAATATGTCATGACTTTTCCAACAATCCTATACAAGGCAGGGAACCAAACAAAGAAAATATTTGATATCTAATCATATTAAAGGGAAGATCTCTGGTAAGATTAAATGAGGCTATGCTTATTTTCCATCATGTGACAAATTTCTCAGTCCTATTTTCCTGCCATTCAGTATAAAGAGACTTTGACTTAGTAGTCAAATTGTTTTACTACAAAGCCCACCTTTATCCAACTGAAAATGTAAACCTCTATTAGTTCTATGGACGCTGGAGTTTGGGAGACAAGTTTTAACTAATTAAGGAAGGACATAAAACTTGGCTAGAGCTGGAGATGTGGCTCCAGGTATAGTTATAATATTGCATCAATTTATACAGAACTTTTTTCCAGAAAGAATTGCACAAAAGTATGAAGTTACTTTAGGGAGAGAAACTAAAAGAGGAGGCTTTCATTTTCCATTTTGTATCGTAGGTTGTTGACATTTTTAAACCATGTATAAGCATTATAATTTCTATTTTTTAATGTCAAAGAGAGTCAGACAATAGTGCATCATTCTGTTTGCTTCTTTTTACTTCTTGCATAAAGAAAAACTAATAAATAATATTTTTAAAAATATTGATAAGGCTTGCAAAATCTGGCTTGTTATAAAAATCTACCTGAAATGTTTATCTGATGAAAGCCTCTGAAATCCAAAAAACAGAATCCATCAAGAGAAAGGCATTGTGAAGGCACTCTTTCCAACGAAGGGAATACTGTAAACTAATAGCGCCTTTCTGGAGAACAATTAAATATTTAAACATCCATACTGTTTGTACTCTGTACCAACAATACCAGTGCCTGGAATTCATTTTACACTTGCTTAAGCACTTAAAGATGTTCACTGCAACAGTGTATATTAAAGAGAACTAGAAACAAATCAAACATCCACCAAAAAGACGTTGGTTATGATACCTCCATATTCTAACCCCATTAAAATAATCCAGGTTAGTTTACATATACTGACATGTCCAAGATCAATTGCTAAGTGAAAAAATTAAAAAAAAAATACAATGTATATAACGCGATTACATTTTTAAAAAGGTATATGGATAGAATAGCCTCAGAAAAAAGATATGGAAGACTACACACAGAGCTGCTTACTGTGGTTATCACTGGAGAGCTGAATGACAGGAACTTATACTTACTACATTTTTTTCTGTGATATTTAAATGTTACAGTGGAAACATATTGCTTTTAAATTTAAATATAAAATATTACAGATGATGTTATAAAAATATGTAATGACATGACAAGGTAAGCAAGAAATACTGTTAAGCAAAAATGTGGTTTTTAAAATAGTATGTAGTGTAAAAAAAGTATATAAAGGGTGATTCCATTTCTTTAAAAATAATGTGCATATATATATATATATATATATATATATACTTTGCATAGAAAAACACATTAATAGGCTATTCTTAGTGAGATTTTGGATTTAGATTTAAAACTTTTCTAAAATAAAAATACAATTCTTAAATAAGAAAATTTTAGGTTTTTAAAACAAAGATATTAATATTCTTATGACATAAAGAACTCTTATAAATTAGTAACAAAAAGACAAAAACTAACCAGAAAAAAGAGCTAGGCACTAACAACAGAAAAAGAAACACAAATGTTCAATGAACATAAAGATGTTCAACATTTTTGAAAAAAGGGAAATTAAAAGAGTAACATCATTTTTCACCTATCAAATTGGAAAATACAACTGAATTATAATAGCTAGTGTAGCTGAAGGTTAAGGAACAATATTGGCCTTGAAATGAGCACCCTCATACTTTTCTGGTAAGACAGTACACCTATATAACTTTTATGGGTACAATTCAGAAATACAGAATTAAAAGTCTTGAATTGTACATATTCATTGGCCTAGATATATTTGTAGCCCTAGATATGTATAAATATTTAGCCCCAAGAATGTTTAGTATCACACTGCTTATAATAACAAGAAACTGAAAACCACTCAAAGGGGTAACATTTAGGATACTGGTTTATGTAAGGAATTGATTACATTATAGCATGAGCATATAGTCTTTGCTGCTATTTAAAATGTTGTTATAATAGAATATCAATAAATCTCAAAAACGTGTTGAGTGAAAGAACTCAAACATAAAGAACACACACTGTATTATTCCCTTAATATGAAGTTCAACAATAGATAAAACTTGCTCTGCCTGTAAACGGCCAGAGGTGACCTCTGAAAATGGTTCACTATTCAATTGAACCAGAAAACTCTGCAAAATCATGCAAATCAAGAGGTTCAAATCTTTGTCTTTACTTTAAGAATACTGGTGAAACTGCCCAGGCCATCAGGGGTATGCATATCTGAAATGTTAATGAGTATCTAAAAAATGTCACGTTACAAAAGCAATGTGCGCCATTCCATCGTTACAATGGTGGAGGTGGGAGATGTGCCCAAGGCCAAACAGTGGGGTTGGATGCGGGATTGGTGGCCCAAAGGGAGTGCTGAATTTTTGCTGGACAGGCTTAAAAATAAAGAAAGTAATGCTGAACTTAAAGGTTTAAATGTAGACTCTCTGGCCACTGAGCACATCCAAGTGAATAAAGCTCCCAAGATGTGGTACAGAACTTACAGAGCTCATGGGCAGGTTAACTCAGAGATGAGCTTTCCCTGCCACACTGAGATGATCTTTACTGAAAAAGAGCAAATTGTTCCTAAACCAGAAGAGGACGTTACACAGAAGAAAAAGATATCCCAGAAGAAACAGAAGAAACAAAAACTTATAGCCCGGGAATAAATTCATCATCAAATAAATGCTAATAAAAGTAAAAGAAAAAATGAATTTACAAAACCTATCAGCAGTGATAGAAGTCAACACAACAGTTGCCTAGGGGTGATACTGACAGGAAAGAGGTATAAGGGAGCTTTTTAGGGGTGATAGAAATGCTCTAGATCTCAGTCTGGGTAATGGTTACATGAGTGTCAAAATATGTTAAAAGTCATCGAGCTGGGGCCGGCCGAGTGGCGCGATGGTTAAGATCTGGCTTGGGACGCCGGAGGGCCCCGGTTCGGATCCCACATATGAGGGCCAGTGACACTGCCCTCTACAGCTAAGATGCTCAACCTGGAGCTGGGCGGCTGTGAGTCGCAGGCGTAGGCTGCAGCCCCTGTAGCAGTGGGTTGCCATGGGCTACCGTATGTAGCCAGCAGCCAGTGTGAGCGGCCAGCAGCCTCAGTGAGCTGCCGTCCAGAAGCCGGCGACTGATCTGCCTCGCCCGGGAAGAGCGCAATGATGGTGCCAACTTGGGCTAGTGAGGCAACGTCCTCCACAACTAGACTGAAGAACAAAACGACAGCAACTTGTTTGTTCTCCTTCCCCCAATTCCCCAGCACTGTTCCCATCCCCGCAATTCCCCAATAAAAATCTTTAAAAAAAAAAAGTCATCGAGCTGTTTGTATAAGATTTGTGCACTCACTGTATATAAATTTAACTCAATAAGTGCTACAATGAAATATAATGTCATAAAATAATTACTCTTAAAATATGAGTTGATGGGGGTGACCGGTTAGCTCAGTTGGTTAGAGCATAGTGCTTATAACACCAAGATTGCCGGTTTGATCCTCGCATAGGCCGCTGTGAGCTGTGCCCTCCTTAAAAAAGAGTAAATTATGCCATTGTAGCATGAAAACAATGTGTAACCAATGACCACGGCTGTTCCCCAATAAAATCAAAACAAAAAAAATATATGAGTTGATGCACAACCTCACTGTTAATAAGAGAAATGCATATTAAGACAAAGAAATACCATTGTAACCTATCAAAGTGGACAAAATAAGAGTTGGACAATGCACTGCATTGGTGAGGGCATATATAAATTGGAGCCAACTCTATGAAAGGCAGTTTGGAATTAGCTCTTAAATTTTTAAGTGCATATACCTATGACTTCTACTTCTAAAAATTTATCCTAAAGACATACTGTACATATAAAAGAAAACATATATACAAAGTCATCTAAACATATATACAAGGTTGTCGTAATCAATAGCAAATGATTACAACAACCCTAAATGTCCATGAATAGGGGCCTGGTTAAATAAAGTATGGCATATTATACAGTTGCAAAAAAAAATGAGATAGGGCCGGCCGAGTGGCGCGATGGTTGAGAGCTGGCTTGGGACACCAGAGGGCCCCGGTTTGGATCCCACATATGAGGGCCAGTGACACTGCCCTCTACAGCTAA